AAAAGGTGAAAGAAAAGCCAGAGAGGTAAAAAGGCAATCTTGGTCTTGGGATGAACAATGAAAAGTGGTCCTATGTACAATGAAAAGTGACCTTGTTATATATCAGCAGAAAAAGTTGCTGTTTCAGAGATTTAGACATTTATTATGTTTTGATGAGAGATTATGAAAAATAATGCACATTGATGAATCATGCACAGTAAGACTAGCAGAAATATTTAAAGGAGCTGTATGTAAGAAATTTGTTTAAAATAATCATAAAATGGCCCTGATATGTCACTACTAGACATTAAGAAATCATGTCCGTTTCAAATACTTATATCACTGACAACAGTAGTCCGGCCAGGATATTGTCATTGTGTTTAGGTCTGATGCTCCACCCTCCACCTATCTACCAATCACGAAGTCAGTAGTGTTGCAGCATCCGGGTTGCCAGCTCTGCTGTAGTTACCACAGCTGCAGATACAAACGTGTCGGATAAAAATTTTTGGATCCTGCAGCCAATCTGGCAACCTCGAGTCAGGGGGGAGGGGGAGGCGATACACTGCTCTACAGTAATTTGAAAGTGATTGCAGTACCAGTTTTGGCCACAATCTTACATATGGCTCCTTTATCAAATCATTAACACCCCCCCCCCCCCCAATCCAAAAATAAATATACTATTTAGATGTAAATTTATTTAAATTCATGCAATTAAATTTAATTTATATATATATGCTTTTTAAAAAAATAATTTTAATCTATTTTAAAATATATCGAATCTACATATTGTTGTATAATCTATTGTATATTATTGAATAAAATAATATATAATATAAAAAAATATATACATTCAAACATGCACATTCTGGTGACTAAATTATGACTGGGTGTGGATGAACAATATAAATAAGGTCAATATTGATATATTGAGGGTCAAATTATTTTGTGGGCCAGATTTTTTTTTTTTTTTCCAAATAGTATTATTACACCAAAGTATTTTTACACCAAAATAATGCTGTAATTCAGTGAGAGACAGAGATGCATAAATGCATGAATACGTTTCTAGTGGTTATTCATTTCTGAGAGCATCTTTTCAACCATAGATTTCTCCACTCATTTCAATCTGGTTAGCTGCAGAATGACGAGTCTAAAAGCAGGCAGAGAAAGAGAACGCTTGGAGAAGAGGACAAGAAGTAACGTGATAAAAAATGGAAGGGAAAGATGGGTAAACAGGTGTCATACAAAAAGACGAGCAAAACAAAATAGGCATGTCATGACGGGCAACAAACTCCCAAATATTTCAGTCAGAAGATCCAGGTGTGTTTTCCAACGCTTCATGGATTTACCCAGAAAACCGGGATGGAGGCGTACGGGAAAGGGGTATATTAATAGACAAATTCTTCGGTATGACCCAAATAGAAACAAAAACAATTTTCCCTGCCCCTCAAAGCCCATTTCGAGTTTAACTCTTAGGAGTTCAAAATACGGCCTTCTCAGTGTCTGTCTAGTTTATGAATTATGTCATTGTTCCACAAACATACAATTTGCATGCAATTGTACAAACGGCTCATTACAGACAGCAGAACAAAACATTGGCTGCGATTTACAGACTAACAAATTACATTTTAATAACTTATTTTAATAACTGTTGTAAAAAGGTACTCCGATATCTAAATTTCCATAAATAACTATATGTGTAATCCCTGCCTTCAAGTATGATTTCTTTATTCACAGTAAACTCATTGGGAAAATTAAAAACACGCATTGTATCACATTGACTGTCTTGCACTTCTGGCTCAGTTGTCACTAAGATCCCATTTCTGGCCTTTTCGTATATTTCCAGTGGGTGCTACATTAATTATTAAGGTCTATTAATAGAACCCTATTACCTGCTGCTCCAAAAAAAGCCCATCATTCCCACTGCCTGGGTTTTTAGATAGGTTGATGTTAAAATTAATTATCTATATCATATTTCCTGTCGCCTCTGTGGGTTTCTGGATCTCTCTTCTTGTGACACACCTTACAGAATTTTGCACTCAAGGCCATGGGTTCATTGGGATGATGGGTAATTAATGTGGCTGATATGGCATACCCCTGCGATTGTGAGCATAAGCGGAAGCAGTACAAATATAGAAAAAAGATCTTAGTTATATTGGTTTATGGTCAATGGATGATAAAAAGGAGACTGTTTTAATTAGGGATGCACCGATATGAAAATTTTGGCCGATACCGATGACCGATAATTCTTTATATTTGAAAGCTGATAACTACGGAGGCGTATTGCATTCACTTGAAGAAAAAAAATCTACTCTGTTTTTCTGAATTAATGAGTTATTTTTTCATGAGAAAAAATTTTTTGCTCTGTTTTTCTGAATTAACAAGTTAATTTTTCATGAGAAAAATTTTTTTTGCTCTGTTTTTCTGAATTAATGAGTTAATTTTTCATGAGAAAAAAAAAATTTGCTCTGTTTTTCTGAATTAACGAGTTAATTTTTCATGAGAAAAAATTTTTTGCTCTGTTTTTCTGAATTAATGAGTTAATTTTTAATGGAATTTTTTTTTTTTGCTCTGTTTTTCTGAATTAATGAGTTAATTTAGAAAAACAGCAAAAATAAATTCTCATGAAAAATTAACTCATTAATTCAGAAAAACAGAGCAAATTTTTTTTCTCATGAAAAATTAACTCATTAATTCAGGAAAACAGAGCAAAAACTTTTTTTTCCTCATGAAAAATTAACTCATTAAATTCAGAAAAACAGAGCAAAATTTTTTTTCTCATGAAAAATTAACTCATTAAATTCAGAAAAACAGAGCAAAATTTTTTTTCTCATGAAAAATTAACGAATTAATTCAGAAAAACAAAGCAAAAAAAAATTCTCATGAAAAATTAACTCGTTAATTCAGAAAAACAGAGCAAAATTTTTTTTTCTCATGAAAAATTAACTCGTTAATTCAGAAAAACAGAGCAAAAAACATTTTTCTCATGAAAAATTAACTCATTAATTCAGAAAAACATAGCAAATTTTTTTTTCTCATGAAAAATTAACTCGTTAATTCAGAAAAACAGAGTACATTTTTTTTCTTCAAGTGAATGCAATACGCCTCCGTAGATAACCGATATATCGGCCGATAAATTTAAATCCAAATTTTTATCTAATTTAGATAAAGCCTAATTACAAAAACAAAAGTCTCACAATTAAATCCATGTCCCAAGCGCACGATTATAATGATGTTCTCATTATAGTGTTGTATAGCCGATATGACAGATTTGTGCTGCACATGTTGTACCGAACCGTATTTTAATTTTTTTTAAAGAGATTTCAATAATATTTCAAGAAATTCAAAAACAAACAGTGCTCAACAAGTGTCTCAGCTATTTATCATTAATATATCGGCCACATTTTCTTACCAGGCCAATAACGATAACATTAAAAATTAGCATATATCGGCCGATACCGATATGCTGGCCGATATATTGTGCATCCCTAGTTTTAATAGTCTAGTTCATGATCATGTTGTATTGAAGTGATCAGTAGACTTAACTTAAAAAAAGTGAGGAAACCTGTGCCTTAAAATTATTAAGTAAATAAGTGTCATGTGTAATTGAAAAAAAAATAATAAGTTATGTGGAATTGTCATGTTCTACTTTTTCAATTACACATGAAGTTTAATAATGAATAATTTTAAGAAAACGTGGTTCCTCACTTTTTTTAAGTTAAGTCAATGAATAACTTTTATCTAAAATATACTATATCTATAACATTTATTTTATGTATTTAAAGGTAAAAATTTATTTAATACAAATATCATGATATGCATTATTACTTTTTTTTTTAAAAGAAGTCTACATCATTCATAAATCATTCTATTTTGGTGCTCAAAAAACATTTCTTATCATTAACGTTGAAAACTTTTTGCTGCTTAATATTTGTGTGGAAAAAATTATAAATTGGGCTACGAAATATATTAAAAAGGACGCTGAATAAAATTGACCATGAGTGACATTAAAGACATTTATAATCTTACAAAAAAAAATGCTCTTCTTTTGAACTTTCTATTAATCGAAGAACCCTGAAAAAAAAGTAAGGAAATAAATCCTGGTTTCAACGAAAATATTAAGCAGCACTGATAAATAGGAACCATTAATAATTGAGCAGCAAATCAGCATATCAAAAATGATTTCTGAATGATCATGCGACATGTGAAGACTGATATAATGGCAGCTTAAAATCCAACTTTTACATCCCAGGATAAATTACATTTTAAATTATATTAAAATAGAAAACAGTTCTTTTAAATAATAAAAAATATTCACAATATTACTATTTTCACTGTATTTTCAGTCAATTAAATGCAGCCTTGCTAAAGCACAAGCACATTACAAACAAAAATTCCTACCGCCATATGTCCAACCAAAACCATGAACCAGTATGAACCATTGACCTTTCTAATTTTCTAAATTGCGACTGATTTCTTAAAACAGCACAGCATTTTAGCGTGACAGATTTTGCAAGCAACATATTCCTTAAAACTTCATCAAAACCATAGTACAGCCTGTTAAATTTGTGTTTTTGCCCACCCAGCAGGTGTTGTGTTGCACGCCTCTAGGCCCCAGTCACACTCCCATCAGAGGGATTTTTCCGGCCCATTGTGGCTTATTTTAATTACACAATGGGCGAGCTCTCCTATTAATATCCATTTTCAATCTCGCTGAGCACTAAAAGGTCATTATCCCAGTCCCGAGAGTGTTTGTGCTCAAACGTGAGCACGTGTGGACCTCGGCCAGCCTGGAGCTAAATCAAAGGGATTTACGTCGTCCAGCGCAGTGGAATCATGTAGATCTGACAGCTCGGGGAATTATGGGTGATGGCTGTTGTACCAAACGGCAACTTTAATTACAGAAAACATCTCGCCGCCCGCGATAATGCTGAATGCAGACTTTCCTCAAGTGTTTCAGGTTGCAAACCAACAAAACGTTACACGTGTTCTGTATATTTTAGTATAATTTATTTTTGGCATCATGTGCATAAACAGTCTTCATTTCACTACATGGTTTCATGATACAGCAAACTCTGATTGTAGTACAAAGTAGCATTTTAACAAAACAAACATGTTCAAAGTAGGCAGATGGAAAAAAATTGGAAAAACTGCATTGGAGGAACTATAAGGTTCAATGTGCTGCTAGTTATGCAAGAAAAGCTTAATGTACAAAAAAATCGATTTAATTCAGTTTATTTAAGGAATGATTTTGTAACAAAAGCACAGGCTACTGTTTATTAGCAATATTTATGGAGTTAATATCAAGCAGCAACATGGGTCCGGCCCATTTTTTTTTTTCTCTTATTTTTATGCATTTTAATTTATTGGCTAATTACATATTTTCTCGCTATTTATTTAAGTAGTTTTTGGTTCTATACGCAAGCATATTATTAACCACTGTATTTTTTTTTTTTGTAACACTTTATAATAACTTTCACTAATAAGTAAGAAACATGCTTAAAGTGTGTAATTTCTGCACAACAGCACCACAACTAAAGATTTTCCAGGTTTCCCAGATGCATCAGCCATTGGTCGGACAAACAGATTGTCCTGCCGAAACTCACGCCATTGGTTGTGGCAAAGATGCTATATTGTTCAAGTAAGCTGTGTAAATGTTTTAATACATCACAGTTATCAGATCAAGATTTCATACGGATATTTACGTAAATATTATTAATGAAAGTTAGTACAAAGTGTTACCAAATCTGGCATACCAAGGCAAAACCCATCAAATCTTTCATGGCAATTTTATTTAGTACAATTCTGTCATCATTTACCCAAACGTACTGTAATTCTAAATCTGTACGATTTTAGTTTTCGATTCGAGTAAGTGATGACAGAATTGTCGTTTTTGGGTGAACTATCCCTTTAAATGTCTCCACGAGTCTGCAATGGTCTATCGTTTCTTCTTCTGTTTGAGAGATTTCCTTCGTTTGACGATCATCTCGTAAAGTTTGTCCATTCCTTCATGGAGACCCTCGCCGATGATGGCGCAGGCCGGTTGGACGTGGTACGTGGTGGAGGGACTCAGTTCATGGAGAGCCAGCTGCTTCTCGATCTCGGTGACTGTTAGGGATTTGGGGAGGTCCTGCTTATTGGCGATCACCAGCAGAGGAGTTCCTTGGTTCTCTGCGAATTTCGTGACTTTATGCAGTTCCGTCTTGGCTTCCTCGAGCCGGTCGACGTCTACCGAGTCCACCACGTAAATAATACCGTCCGTGCAGCGGCTGTAGGATTTCCACAAGGGTCTTAACTTCTCCTGTCCGCCGACGTCCCAGAAGTGACAGCTGATCCCTTTGGCGGTGCCATTGCTGAGTTTGATCTTCTCCGTGTTGAAGCCGATGGTGGGAACGGTGTTGACGAATTCGTTAAACTTTAACCGATACAGTACTGTGGTTTTACCGGCCGAATCCAAGCCTAGCATCACGATGTGCAGGGACTGGAACGCTGAGATGTTGGAGAAACCGTTCCCCATCTTATGATAAATGTGTAACAATCAATAAATCACATAGCAACGTCGCCTATCTCGCCTCTTTGATCTCGAGGCTTCCAGGCTTCAGATTCATTGGTTGTTTAGCATCCAAACTGAGACGACTTTCAGTTTTGAAGGAAAAAAACACCAGGTTATGATCCCATAAAGCGATCCATTGCATTCTTATCCATGCAAACCCATTAAAGCATCCACATCAACCCAGGCAGGTATGCATGGTCGGTCTGGGAAGGGCGTTGGGTCCTCCTCCTGTTTTCTGATGATATGTTGTACCGCAGACCGCTGGCCTCTGTTTATCTCCTCACTACGAAGAGTTCACGAATAGATCTCTTCCACACACAGCATAAATCCGAGACTTGTAAGGTCAGGGAGCGAGGCGTTTCCTCAGTGGAGATAAAAACAAGCCGACAGTGAGAGTAGACGGAGGTTTCCCCGCTCTGCTCTGACTCACACTGAAGCGCTGCTGCTGCTGTCTGTGCGTGTGCATGAGGAATACAAATCTGTGCGAACTCCTCCCACACAGGCAAGCAGAAGCACCAGTTCAGAAAGTCACATCCCAACACTGCTTGTACATCCCCATGTACAACATGAGGTACTGCGCACACAAAAAGTTTGCTGCTTATATATACCCATATATTTATTTATATAGGTTTGCATGGACACGGTCACCTCTGATAATAACAGATCGCTATAAAAAGTAATGTAGATACATGCCTTTTCTGTATAGCTGCTTTTAAACGATATGTATTGTGAAAACCACTTCACAAATAAATGTGAAATGATATATATATGAAGAGTTCAGATGCAAAAGCCTCTAAATGCCATTTAAAATTTTCTTCTAAAATGATCATTTTTATCAAGCTTGTATATTTAAATTCAGTAATTTCACTTAAATGGCAATGAAGCTTACCTATTAATTGTCATTTAAGTGAAATTACTGAACTTAAATATACAAGCTTGATAAAAATGGTCATTTTAGAACAAAATTTCAAATGGCATTTAGAGGCTTTTGCATCTGAACTCTTCATATATATATATATATATATATATGCGTGCGTGTGATTTTAAAATCTCAAATTTGATATATTTAAATTGTAAAATGTTTATTATTATTATTATTATTATTATTATGGTGAGAGATTTTTTTCCCATATTGAGTGCATAGATTGTAAAAAAAACAAGAAACAATTAAAGGATGAATCATTTAAAGAGAGACAGTGCAGTTGAGTCTCTTTAAGAATTTGCTTTGTGAGTCTGCTGACACCTGGTGTAAAATATATGTATAACAGTCTCTGTTAAATCTGTTTAAAATAACTTTTCACTGACCTAATTATCTAAGTATTACTACTACTATTATTACTATTATTATTATTATTTTTTTTTTTTTTGGTGTATAGTGTTTGTACCGGTAATTGTTTGTTGGTATGCATGGCTTTGTGTGTCTGTCCTCGTTTATGGGCCTGTGTTGGATTAGCTCTGGGTGGGGGTGGGGGGTATTGGGTACAGGTGAATTTTCGGTCCCACTTTGTAATGTTTATTGTTAATCATATTTGTCACCTGGTGTTAAAAAAAAATGTAAAATTCATTCAATAAAAAAGTTGGAAAAAAAAATTCATCATTAAAATGAAACACACACACACAAAACCCCAACGTGTGTGTGTGTCCGCTTCATCTGAATTATCTGCACACATATATTGGATTTGGCAAGTTTTATGAAAAAAAAAAGGTTTTAAAACTTATATATATATGAATAAATAACACACACGCACAATTATATAAGTATATATGTATACAATGCATCTTAACAACTCAAATGTGACATTTATTTAAAGTTGCTTATTATTTTAATTATTGTTGTTGTTATTATTATTACTAAGGTGAAAAAAAACACACCAAAGCTTTAAGAAAATACTTAAAGCCTTGTAATAGTATTTAATTGCATTTGTTTTTTTAATATTTTTAAGATTAATATTATTTGCTTGTGCATTGAGTGTTTATTTAGGATTGTTGACTGCCAAAAAATGTAATGTTGCCTTTCTATCACTAGATGTCAGGATTGCAGAAGTTTACAAAAAGTGTATCCCTCCCTAAGGAGAACATCAATTTCTTTGTGTTTTGAACAAAAACGTTTGTAAGGGTCAGTATAAAATATAATTTGTGTAAAAAATGTCAATTAGTTTAACCCTATTTTTATCCAGCTTAATGTGTATAATGTTAATTAGTTCTGTCATTTCTGACATGTTTAAGTGAATTGTTTTACAAAGTCTAGTTTCTCACACAACGTCACAATTAACTCGGCTGTATTCGGACTGTCTGAGAAAAATAAAATGAGTGTGAAAGAATGTCAAAGCAAAAAAAAAGGATTTAGAGAAGAAAACAAAATAGCAAGTTCCTGCCATTCTGACAGTCCTCCAAGAGGAAGGAAAGGGCTCAGGAAGGAGTATGTGGGTCTTACAGAGGAACTGGTTTATTGTGGCCGAACAATTCAATCCAGATCAAAGCCTGCTTCCCATTCAAATGGACCTCAATGAAGAGCACAACTTCCTTAGTTAAACCTAGCATGCTGCCTACCTAGACAGCATTTAAAGGGATCATAGGTATCCTGACATGAAGAATGTTGCAAAAAGATATCAACAATATTATGTTGCTTTCTGAGTTCCCTCGTTTTGGTAGAAAAACACAATCCCAGAATGTGTTGCAATGAGGGAGAAAAAGTCCAAAAGTTGTGAGAAACTACCCAATATGTGTGTGGTATTATGTTTTGAGTTCCAGCAATATCTTCTCAAGGGACAATACTATTTGGACAATACTAAGAAATGTTGAGTTTGTTGCCCAGCCCTGTTTGATTGAACCCCGAGAGACATCAAACCTTATGCTACTCTTACATCCTACATCGTCTTTTGGAGTAAGAAACTCTTTTGTGGACTTTCAGACCAGAAGTTTTAATCAAACCAGTTGGTCTTTACCTTTTTTTGTAATGTAGTCTTCTGAGTTGTTATTAAATTGGATTGTTTAAATGTAATAATTACATTTAAAATGTCCTATATGTTTACTTATTTAATTTAAATGTATCATTATTTATTTTTAACACTATTATTAATGATGTTAGGCCTAAATGTAAAAAGAAAAAGGATGGTATTACATGCAACATGCATTTGAATCGCAAAACTTCAACTCTGTGATCTTCATTAGACCTTTATTTCACATTCTTTCCTCAGAATAGTGGAGGATTTTGGTTCTTACAAACCTTTCAAGTTGAATATTTGAGAACTGATGCCAAGGGGACGTAATCCTCAGGGTTAATCTAACTCCAGCTTCTCCAGAACATCTAGCGTTCTTTGTTTGTATGGAGACCAAGTCCTCCTCGGGGAGTTCCTTTGAGGTTCCTCCGAAAAACATTGAGCAAACAGACCTACAATTTCATATTTAACTCCCTTACGACACCCTCTCACTCTCTCGAATGCTAAGCGGCCTCTTACGTTAATGTGTTTTGGCGTACAAATTTGCTGTCAGCACAATCTTCTCATCTCCTTTCTGTTTTACCCACAAGAGCTCTTGCGTGAGGAACAGGTAGACGAGGAGCCGCATTAACATGCAGAGAGGGTACGTAACCGAGCAACAGGCCTGAATGGGATGTGCTGCTAATTGGTTTCTGTTCCCGTGAGGCTCATCGGTTTTGTATTCAATGATGCTGTAAGATCAACCAAGACACGATCAGCGTTCTTACATCAGATCAGGGTGATCATCTCTCTGGAACCACTGGCATATCAAATTAGATCTTTTTTTGTATCTCAATTGTAGAGCCGGGCCGATACGATTCAAATATTTGTTAGTTTTGAAATCCGATATGCCGATATATCGGCCGATATTTTATTTTATTTGTATTTTTTTCTGAAACACGCAACAAAACACTAACAGATTTCCCTAACATTAGTTATTTGTAGTTATTTATGAGTTTAACTAAAATAAAATGATCATGCATTTTAAAAAGAAACTTTTATTTTATTGTCACAACAGAACAGACTGTTGATAGTGGCATTAGCTAGCTTTGTGGTTAGCTAGTCTATGATGATCCTTAATTTAGCAATGGATAACGTCATACTGCAAATTGCAAAACATACATTTTCAATATAACAGGCCAAGGAGAGATGATGCGTCTCATTGCTATAACTGTCACACGCTTTTAAAGAAATACTTCAGTCGCATTGCCAAAAGTTAAAAGGACAGCCAGTCAACTACACTGTAACAACGTAACGTAACTATTACTAGCTGATTCCGCTTCACTCTCGCCTTATTTAACCGCAGCAAAACTGGACATGATAGTCACAAATTTTGTCATGCTTATTTGAGTCAAGAGAACTGATGGGGACGTTCTTTTAATTGTTATTCAAGCAATGTATGTCTTGTGACCAACTCAACGAGTGTTTTGCTAACAGGGACGGTGTAGAGTGCCCTCTGGTGGACAAACTATACAACTCCAACACTCATGACATTGTTCAAGCGTGTTTCGTCCGTTTTTATTTTTCTATTTTTGAAATAATTATTTATCGGCCATTATAACTGGCGATACCGATAGTTTGGAAAATGCCTGATATCGGCCGATAATATCGGTCTGGCTCTACTACTAGCGATGTTAGTGAAGCTACTTCGAGCTTCGCTACATATACATATTAGTTTACTTTATTGTCATTCAAACATGTTAGACATGAAGGAACGAAATTCGTTTCCCAGGTCCGGCAGCGTAATACAGAATAAATAACAATTCAATCCTCAGATAAACCCCAATAAAACATATAAAATGGATTATATATATTACATTAAAATATATATGATTTGAGGTCTGCCAACTTATTCGGGTTTACAGTGTACTTCATAGATTTAAGTTATAGTAATTGAATGGAATTAGTACTATTAACTTTATTTACCCAAATTATCTTAACAATAAGTTATTGAGTTACTTGGAAACAAATCAAATATTTTTTTATGCTTAAATTGTTTGAGTTAATAAACTTGAACAAACTCATCAGGTTTTACGGTTCTGACAATTATTTGAGTTATGCGATGGACGTTCATTTTAAAACTATTGACTTATTTTTTCTTATTTCAGGGATTTTTAGGATCAACATCTTAGACAAAGTTGCTATGAAGTGAAACGCCTCTTATCTTGTTTATCCCCCCTCCCCCCCCCAACCTTCCCAGCATGAACCCATGATAATCTCGTTCTCTCTCTTTCCGCATTTGCTCAGGTGAAATACAGTCCACCTGTTAGCCACAAAGCTCAGCCAAGCAGGAAACTCATGTTTTTCACAACAGATGCAAGCGCACACCAGAGACACCATCTACCCCTCATCGCACTAAAAATCATTATTGCGCCTTTGAAACAGATGGAATCAAGTTTGTGACATGCTGAAAGTTATAAAGCATGCCTGTACACGTTTTAATGCAACAAGGCCTTTGAAACCGTTCAGTTTAGCGAATAGAGATAAAGAGCTTTGAAAT